ATTTTGTCGTCGCGCCTATTTCCATTTCTCTAGTGTTTTTGGAACTATCACGAGCATTTTTAAGTAAAATCTAGAACGATATTAAGAATTCTCTTCGAATCTTCCTCGATTTAAAATAGTGTGTTTTATAATCACGCCCAAATAATTGAAGAAAGACTTAATTCCAAACGAAACTTTCCAACAGTCTTTTTCAATTCCAACCTGTTGTCTAGAACGTTTCCAGAGCTTTTTGCCACCATTCCTACAACTTCTTGAGATATTTTCTAGAAGGTAGTCAAGAGCTAACAGAGAAGATAATGTAGATGGTAATTTTCTTCAAACGTTCTTCAAGTTAAAATAGAGTGCTTTATCGTCAAGCGCAAATAAGTTAAGAAAGCGTTAATTCGAAGAAAAACCAACAATCTTATTCAATTTGGGACTGCTTTATAGAAAGTTTCTATAACCTTTTGTTTGCGTTTCTAGAACTTAATTGGGGAATTTTTTAGGTTTTTCCTACTGTATTTGGAGGTTTCACTTGACCATCCATATACAACTGAGCCTTTCGAACGTTCTTCGACTTTATACAGGGCGTTTCATAGTGAAGCGCAAATAATTGAACAGCGACATTTCTAATGAATACTGTCCAACAGTCTTTCTCGATTTGTAAAAGTTTCTTCGAGTTAAAATAGAGTGCTTTATCATCAATCGCAAATAATTCAAGAAAGCGTTAATTCGGAGAAAAATTTCCTAACAATCTTATTCAATTTGGGACTGCTTTATAGAAAGTTTCTATAACTTTTCGTTTGCGTTTCTAGAACTTAATTGAGGAATTCTTCAGGTTTTTTCTACTGTATTTGAAGGTTTTTACTTGATCATCTATATACGACTGCGCCTTTCCAACGTTCTTTGACTTTATAGAGGGCGTTTGATAGTGAAGCGCACATAAATTAACAGTCTTTTTCGATCTGTGAAAGTCTCTAGAAATTAGTGTTTCACAATGAACAAAAAAAATTTGAGAAAGTGTCGATTTAAAGAAAAGTTTCAGCAGTGAACTTTCCGACTTGAAACTATTATAGAAGTACTCGAGAACTTCTAGAGCCGGTTTCTAGAGCTTTATCGATAATGTCTCCAGGTTCTTTGGTTCCTGGTTTTCCATAAATTGGCCAACTAGATGCAACTATTGCCTTGGAACGTCCATCGGATTTATACAGAGTGTTTTATAATAAAGCGCAAATAGCTTGAGAAAGTGGTAATTCCATGGAATACTTTGCTAAAGTGTTTCTTGATTTTGGTCTGTTATAGAAAATTTCTAGAGCCATTCGAGGGAGTTTCTAGAACTTTATCGAAAATCTCATCAGAATATTTCGCTGTGTAGGTTTTTCATAAATTGACCATCCAGATGCCACGATTTTCTTTGATCGTCTTTCGACTATACAGAGTGTTTCATAATGAAGCGCAAATAATTTAAGGAAAGCTATCAAACAATCTTTTTCGATTTGAGACTGTAGCCTGGAGAGTTTCTAGAACTTTTCCTGGGCGTTTCTAGAACTTTGCAAGCTACTTTCTAGAGCCTTATCGCAGACCTCTTTATGTAACTTCCACTGTTTGGCTGTATACAGGGTGTGTGACAAGCAAAAGCTCAACTTAAGCACATTTATTAAAAACCACGCAGTCGATCCTAATTTTATGTCTGAATCAACAGAAAGATAAAGAACGCAATTTTCGCATCTAACAATCAGATAATAATTGATGGCAGGCTTATGTTTAATTCCACTACGAGATTAGTGGCGTTTTATGTTGTTTTGGGAATGAGCACTGCTTCTGGAGCATTTTTGGCCGGAAATTTTGGAACGCAGCAGGAATGACTGAAGATGTAAAGTGTGTGCGTCCATATATTTGAATACCGTAATAGCTTATCGCACTAATAGCGATCTTAAATGCTAATGGTTGCCGATTGCACAAGTATATTGGCAATGTTGCAAGGAATGAAGTGGTTTTTTTCCGGTATTTGAAGTAATTGTGCGGGAAAGTTCCCTTCGAACCGAACCCAAAAACAACTAGTTCGCGTACTTTCTTATCATTCTCCCATACACCCACGTCCGCAAAGTTGCGACTGCTTATATAACGAATCTCCATCTCAGATCGCGATCTCCCTCGGCTTTGCATTCCCCAACCTAATTAAAGATTTGTTATCGCATATATGCAGTTCCTGTCTCGGGGGGGAATTTTAATTATTAATTCTTAACTTCGGTTGCGCCAGATAACGCAGTCGGGCAACGCTTAATTCGCAGCCGCAAGGCCCAAGTATACTTAATGGGACCCGACTAGTTCTCTATAAATATAAATTTTGATTAGTTGAAACGTTGCAAATGGTGCGCTACTGGATGCCGGCGAACCATCCCCCAAAACTAACGAAACTGTATGGAAAATGCGATAAGATCGGTATCTTATCGGGTGGAATGCGTGAGGGGCGCCGAAAGCTCGGCCAATCGAACGCGCCGAAGACTTCGGTCTCGGGGCCCTGAAGCTTCGCACTCACGAAAAACGCGGCCAGTTTCAGTTTGTGCGTGGAAGTGCTCGTGTTTTGTGTCTGACTATCTTCGCACTCTCGCAGTATCGAGGTAAACATCAACGGTGTTGAGTACACATTTGAGGTGTGTATTCTTAGTTCCTTCCCCTGAATTAATTTTTTCAATACTTCGGCTCAATACATGGAAATTTAGGGTCAAAGTCATGCTCACAGCATTAGTGAGTGTCTCTTGCAGGTTTTTCTGCCACTGTAACCAGCGCTTTTCTGTTCCTTCTTCTTCGATAGCATCCAGTTCTGTTTGGTTTTTTGCACTTCTTCCGGCGCCTCCGCCTTTAACTGCCAGCGTTTCTTCAATTCGAAAAGGCTCTTCTTCAATTGCCAGTTTTCAAGCATCGGTTTTGATTTCGATTAAGCGTGCAGGTCATGTTGTTAGTGAGTCTCTAAGTCATGCTCTCAGCGATATTTTAATATAAAAACGTGCCTAATTCTCAGTCAATTTTACTTTGTCGATGATTATTTCTTAGTGGTTCTTCCAAACTTTCGATATTGTCGCCAGCAGGATTCCGGTCGTTTTTTGATGGAAAATTGTTTGATTTTTGTTCCAAATTCGAAGCTGGAAAGGGATTTCAAAACTTTTTACAAAGCGACGAACGGTTCGAAATTTATTTCATAATTTTTCGCGGAAAATACCTTAAGATTGTCAGCATTTTTAAGTGAAACTACAAAATTGAGCATTTAGAAGAAAGAGTAACTTGGCTAAAACTGGAAAATTCTGAAATTTGA